TATATATATATATATATATATATATATATATATATATATTCCAAAATAAGACATTTTTGTTTTTGTACTCATTCAGTACTTATGAATGATTTCTTAAGGTTTTTCACATGACATCTTACGTGGGACAATCATTAATGAAGTGTTTGTGGCTTTTAATGTTTATGTCCATCGTGATCTCGACTACTTGGTTGCTTAGGTCATGTGTTCTGAACGTCTTAACTTCTTCATACGATCTCAGATTTTAACGATCTTTATATCCATGCGTTCGTATTTTAGTCTACTACAACTTTCGTTTTGATTACTCATGTAAAAAGTAATATAATTTTACTTACGATTTTTATATCCATACGTTTTTTATGAATGCATGTATGGATGTTTTTTTAATAAAATCTTAAGTAAAAATACATTACATTTTAACGGAGGTAATCTTAACGAAAGTTGTAGTAGACTAAAAAAACGAACACGTGGATATAAAGATCGTTAAAATTTGATATCGTATGAAGAAGTTACGACGTTCGGAACACAAGATCTAATCCAAACTACAAGACCTACGCAACCATGCAGTCGAGATCGCGATGACCATAAACATCAACAACCCCAAAAACTTCATCAATGATTATCCCATGTAAGATGTCGTGATAAAAAAAACCTAAAGAAATCATCCATAAGTACTGAATGAGTACAAAAACAAAAGACTTATTTTGAAACAAAAAAATATTAAGGACTAAATGTGCATAAAAATAATAAGGACTAAATGTATACAAAATGATAAATATATTACCCTATTAAGTCATTTTTCCCGGCTAACCTAGAGTAACCGGTCATAAGGACTGAATTTGTACAATTTATGGTAAATATGAACGAAAAAAAACTCAGTGACTAAATTTATACAAATCAAAAAATATATTACGATTTTAAGTTTATCCCTTTGTTTTATCTTTTATGTTCCTCGTAGCTTCCTGCTAAATTTTTTGTTCAATGAATTGTCACCCGTTAGTAAGGGGTTGGCTAAAAAGACATTTTATTTTTCCATATAGACATCCTATTTGAATTTTAAGATATTTTATTCGTTGAATTTGCATTGTTTTCCTAAAAATTAAATTATAAATAATTAATTATAAGTTGATTTTTAATATACCTATAGCAACGGTACTTGGTATAGGTATAAACCTTTCAACAATCAATACAAGTCTACAAGAGATAACTAATAAATGTTGAAAAATAGCCAAATGAGAAAACAAGAACACGTTTTTGATTGACAAAATTGAGAAAACTTATAAAAAAAAGCTTCCATGTAGCCGTGACTGAGGAGACATTTCAGGAAATATTCAAACATAAATAAGGACATACATATCATGACATAGTTCCCTACCTAATTAAATCATAGGACCCACAAACCACGAGATGTACTTCAATACAACGATAATCACGGGTCGACTAGCCTCGTCATAGATCACAGACACACACCATCCAAGTCAAGGTCAACCCAAAAATATCTTGCACAATACCAGGAACGACATTTGAATCAACATCTTCTTTCTTGCTTCTCTATAATAACCTCTTGAAGAGACTTGTACACAATCTAAACCCACACATTTACCTATAAAATTTATTCCTTTTAAGTTTTAACAATCCATTTATAAATACATCAAAAAAACTAAAAATCCAATGTGGAATACAAGTAATCATGCATGGTGAGCACCTGTAAAGCTAATGTGCTACCAAAAATCAATTCCTTTTTAATTTTCGTATACAAACAAAAAGAAAACTATTATTTTACTTCATCATCTTCCTTGACTTGCCTGAGCTTTTTCCGGGGAGAGTAGGAATACTCTGTTCATTTCTGAAGAAATTATCAGGATCAACCGCTGTCTTTATCTTCACTAATCGTTCAAAATTCCCCATGAAATACATCTCCCCGTAAACTTTACCTTCATTGTAGTTGTCACCGGTCATCACGCCGATGTCAAGATCTCTATAGTTCAAGAACGCACCTCTAGGATTCTTTGATACAAATGGTGTCATGAAATCATGCATTACCCTTGTTTGATTCAAGTAGTTTCTTTCAAGTTCGGGATCAGGGTCGCTCCACCCGATTGAATATTGGATTTTGAAAATGTTGCCGGCGCGGTGAGGCATTGGGGTGGCGTCCGGTGCAATATCGTTCATTTTTCCGCCGTAGGGGTTGAAAACGAAACCAAGTCTACCCAATTCCACTAGTTTGTTGAAGATTGATGTAATCCCGGATACTGAGATTGGTGTTTGGACGTAGTCGGACTTCCGTTTTCCGAAGTTGATGTCGTCGGAGTGGCGGTTGAGGAGAATCTCCGGCGCGGTTGTGTTGTCGAAGTTAGCCCAGTAAAGTACGGAGTCAATCCAACTTCCTTCCACACAATCTTCTTTTCTCAATCCCAATTCCGGGAAGTTTTTGGTCATTAGAGCAACCAAACTGTCGGCATCGCCCAAGTAATGTGCGATGAATGAAGCTCGGCCGACTCTCTGCCGATTCACCGTCACCGGCTGTAACAAGACTCTGATGAATAGATCATCGTCGATGTCAGCCATAACCGACTGCCATTTATAAACGAGTTCCGACGCATTTTCCGCCACCGTTTTCATTATCCGGAAGATGGTATTAACCTCCCCCACCTGAACAATTTTCACGGTATAAGATAGAATGACACCGAAACTGGCGCCACCGCCGCCGCGAATTGCCCAGAAAAGATCCTCACCCATGGATTTCCGATCCAAAACGCGGCCGTTTACGTCAACAATCCGGGCATCTATGACGTGATCCACGGATAAACCGAATTTACGAAGCATGGTGCCGTAACCACCGCCGCTTAAATGACCACCGACACCAACCGTCGGACATACTCCGGCGGGAAAGCCATGGACTTTACTCTTTTCGTAAATCCTGTAATAAAGCTCTCCCAACTGTGCCCCTGCTCCCACAACCGCAGTTTCATCGGCGATATTGACGTCGATGTCGCGGAAATTGAACATATCCAGTATGATGAAATCAGGGTCGGATGAGATGTAGGAGATTCCTTCGTAGTCATGTCCGCCGCTTCGGATCTTAATCTGAACACCGACTTTCTTAGAGCAAAGAACTGCGGCTTGCACTTCGGATTCTGTCGTCGGAGTTATGATAACAGAGGGTTTAGGCGTTGAGGATGTGTTTAGACGTTGGTTTTTGATGTAAGCTTGGAGGACGGCGGTGTAAGCGGATGAATTGGCGGTGGAGCTGAAGACGATGGATGAGAGATCATCGGCGGATTCAGTTGTCTGTAAAGGGAGGCATTGGAGAAACGATTGGTAAACTGAGTCGGGATCCAAGGCGGCGTTCGAAAACGAGAAAAGGAGTGGAGTGAGGAGGAGGGAAAGCATAACTAACGACTTCATTATTGGCTGCTTATTATTCTTTTGGCATGGTTAGAGAGAGTATTTATAGTGTAGATCAATGTTTGCGCGTCGTATGACTTTTTGTCGCACACCACATGGAGTGGGTTTGAAGCTTTTTGAGGTCGTCGGTAATGGCGGATGGTGAAACGTGGAATCTTCTTGTCTGCAAGTGTTAAGCGGCTGTTGGAAAGCGACACAGGAAACGAGAAGACTTTATTTGTAAAAGGGTATTTATCGAAACGTACTAGGGTTAGTTAAAAGGATAATGTAAGAAAAACCCTTTTTCATTCATGGATACCTTTTATTTACGAGAGTATTTAATTTCTTTTTATTTATTTATTGATTTTTTCAAAGATAAAATTTGGTCATTTAGGTTTCGCATTTTTTAAGGTTCCATACTTCCGTTCACCATGGTCTTAAAATTCTAAATTTCACGTTGTCTTTTTCAACGTCTTTAGACCATCTATTATACTCTCCACGATAACGGTCTTGGAGAGTTTCTAGATCGGTCACCACCACCCAGTGTTGTAAAACTCGCCGAGCTGGCGATTACTCCTCCGAGTACTCACTACTCGGCCCATTAGCGATGCGAGTTACAAAATCTCGAGTACTCCCTGATCGGCCCATTACTGAACTGAGCAGTGTTGTAAAAACTCGGTCAACTCGGTGATTAATATGTATAATACACTTAATGATTTATTATTTAACACACACACATGTGATTATTACTACATATATATCTTAAATTTTCAGTAATTATTCACAAAGTGAGACCATTATGTCATTTTCAATTTTTGTGTATTTACATGTATCTAATTTTGTAATATATTTCAATCAACTTATGATTTTAACTTATGATTTTGACATATATAATTTTCCTAAAAATATTTCTATATGAATTACCGAATCCGAGTACTCCCCGAGTACTCGCTACTCGGCCGAACAGGCACCGAGTAACGAGTTCTACAACCTTGCCACCACCCACCACAAAGCCATGGAGTACCCTCTACGATCACGAACCGAAGAACGAAGAGAGAGAGAGAGAGAGAGAGAGAGAGAGAGAGAGAGAGAGAGGGAGAAGAAGAAGAACTGAGAGAAGAAGAAGAACTGATTGGGCGTTGTCTCTCGTCCTCTGCATCACGAACCACCACGAAAACACCCGACCACGAATGGCCAGGGTAGTGTGCACGGAAAACGCTCATGACCACGTAGACCACGAGCCGGTTCGTCTTGGGTATACCGGACAACCTTATATCCCTTATATCTAATCTCTTTTAAAATTGAAAAAACATATATGCCTTAATTATTTTTACATTTTACATTTTTCAAAGAGAAATTAAATATCCTCTTACCATTTCCTCTTACTTTTATTCTTATCCATGTGAAATAGTGACAAGTGTCATATTCGAATAATATTAATTGTATTTTAATACACCTGTCATCATCTCAAATGGGTAGGAGGATAAGTAGGAAGAAAAGTAAAAGGATATTTAATTTCTCTTTATAAAGTCTTATTAAAATTAAATAATTCAAACATAGAAAATAAAACCCTCTTCTTCCAACCCTCACCCCTCCTTATTCTCATTTTCTTTTTCGTTACACCTTTCATCTTCCCACTCTCTGTCTCTTTGCTTCACCTCATTGTCTTCTCTAGCAACCACAACCACAACCACAACCACACCACACACACACAACCATAATCGTCACCGTACCCACCAAAATAACCTAGAAGATATCTCATCCTAAAACCATAATATCATATTCTTTTCTTGATCAGACCATTACAATATTAATATACGATCTTAAAACTCATTGGCTTCAACAACAACAATCTCACACCCCCTTTAACTTTGAACCTAACACAATTATTTTCAAGAAGAGATCAACCTTCATTCATAATGTCGTTCTTTACCATACATTTTACATTATAAATCTGGTAGTGTCGAATCAGAACCCCTATGTTGTTGTGCCGTTAATTCATAGCGGATACAGGTGACGACGTTGCTTAATCAGTCCAAAAGACCTCCGTTGTCTGCTGCAAATAGCAGGGAGTACAATGTCAGATTCATGACACGATGGTTCGACTTATTCTTGAGAACTTGAACCTCGTAGGTGTTTTTGCTGCAAATATCGACTTGGGTGGAACATTATGATTTTTGAGTTTGTAAAACAACTTGCTTAATGGACCGATTTTTGGTCCCGATGAACTCATTAACCTTAGATCGTTGTTTCTTGACTATCTTCACTAGTTAATCTTGTCATTAATTTATTCACTGCATCACCTCCAGAATCTAGATTTTTCAGCGACAAGTTAACCAGTGTCATTCTCACTGAATTATGTAATTTAGACCAATTGAACTACCTCCGCCTCGATTCAAATTATTTAAATGTTTTGATTCCTCCCTTCAATCAATCATCTCTTTAAATTTTTAATTTTTCAGATAAATTTCTAACCAATCATTTTCTAGTGACTCTTGTTCTTGCTTGATTTTTTCCAACATTGTTTTCAATCAATAAATAACTTTACAATGTAATCGTTTGTATAGAATGTGGCATCAATGGATAATTTTTTGGTAATAATTCATCGAGCTCATCAACGCTTTAGTGGGTGAGAAGAGGCAAAAATAGGAAACTACAACTGATGGAGGGTTTTACAAATTCAAATTCGTTAAAGCATAAACGCATTGTATTATTAGTTGGCTTCTCCAGTGGCTAGTTGGTTGTGATAACTTTAGTTTTATGTGTAATGTTGTTGACTAAGACATTGGAGAAGAATGGGAGTGGAAAGGATATTGTTCCTACTTGCGAAAAAACTAAGATGGCAAAGGCAACCAAGGCGACGAGGATGGAGAAGGGAGGAAATTTGGAGAAGAAGGTGAGGAATTTGCATTATAGAATGGGAATGGAAAAGAGTGGCAATATGTTGTTCTTCACTTGGGAATTGTATCTTTATATAGTGGATCACATGATGAGGGCGCAAACAGATTATTGGGGAGTCGAATCGTCAGGAAAATATAGAATACATTGTTGGACCATAATACCCCTCGTTAGGGTTTATTTGAAATTATACTTAAGAAAAATCATTTGTGGAAATATTGCCAAAAAGATTCAGAGTTTAAGTTTTACAAAACAAAAATGATTTCCCAAAGTGGTAAACTTAATCAAGTTTGAAACTAGCGAGGTTGTTAACAATAAACATATAAAATATAAGACTCAAACTCGCCACACATTCTGTGGAATTCTTAAAGGACACATAAGTCTCACAAATTCACATAAAAGGGGTAAACAAAGGTTATAACATATATAAGATACAAATGGTTACAACTATTACCACCCATTATCAATCGCATAGGTCCAACTTAGGGGTCGTTTGATAGTTGCTAACTGAGTTAGAGCTGAATGGTTTAGAAGATGACTGAGTTAGAAGTTCTGACTAAGTTAAATTCTGATTGAAACTTGTTGTTTGATTTTGCATATGACTGACTATGCAAAATGACTATATTACCCTCAAACAACATTTTTTTATAAAAATCCCTTTATGATTTACCATTTAATTTGTAACATTATATTTTTTTTATAAAAACATCCAACCTGATTATACACAACATTTTAAGATAATCATTCAAGCAATAATACAATTGCTTTGTTGCATAATATTTTCTATCTGCTACTTCTTAGGTAGAATACAAACCAAACCCATTGTTAGGTAGAATACAAACCAAAGACAGAAACAAAAATTAATTCACACCAAGAAACAAAAATTACATGTACTATTTTCTATTTTTTTTTTAATTCCATGTCTGCCCTCTGTATCAATGAATCCTTAATGCTCCACTTAATTGTAGTGTAGTGTGCTTTAGATCTTATATCCACTGTCTTATAGGAAAGATCTTTTGAATGGCTCATATTGTGCTTCTAACTCATCCTTACCACTTTCACCAGCAATCAATCATGGCATATTACCATAGGAAACTAATGCCAATTTTCAAATATAAACAATTTTGCATCCTCCCTGTTATGGAAGAGGGCTGCACCAACAAACATGTTTGTGATTATGTGTTTGTAATAAATATAAATCAATTCACCCAAATTAATTAAAATTTAGCAATGTATCTATAATTTAGGGCGTGTTCGGCAAAATTAGCTGGTAGTGGGTAGCTTGTAACTTGTAGCGTTTTGTTAAACGCTAAATTAAGTAGCATTTGGACTTGAAGCGTTTTGTTTAAACTAAACGCTAGAAGCTTGTAGTGTCGAACGAAGCTTCCTATACAAAACGGAGCGTTTTGTCAAACGCTAGAAGCTAGAAGCTCTCAAACGCTCCCAAACGCTCCGTGCCGAACACGCCC